AAATATTGTCAATGGAGAATATATTTCAAAGCTCAATAAAAATGTACACATTTATTATGAGGAGTCTATAATATCTTTTTGCGAGTACATTATTGAAGAGAACATATAACAAAGATTGTTGCAGTAAAATGGAGGATAATGAACAGGTTTTAGAGATGAGTGGAAACAAAGAATGGTGGAGGTCAGGTAAGAAGAGAATTGCAAATCATCGACACATTGAAGGTACCGAAGGCGATTGGCTCGAATGTGAACGATAGAAATACCGATCAGCGTAAAATGTCAGACTGGACAGAAGTAAAAAAGTGTCATAGGTGTTTCCCACAGACGATTCGTAGATATTAAATGACATTAGGATACATCAATATTACAATGAAAGATGTGGTCAAAAATATTTGAAACTGAAAATTTTGAAGATTGTTTTAACAAGACACGTAACAAAGCGTAAAATAATATTAGATTAGAATGTGACTTAAATGATTATTTCGAAGAAGAAGCAATTAAGGCCTCCCCCATAGCAATAATACACAGTCTGTGGACCGTTGTTTTGTATTTTACAAACAAGCATAAGTTTCGCGAAAATCATAGAAGTTCTAATAAAAAATTTGAAAATAAATTTGTGTAAAATATTTTTTAAATCACAAAGGATGTTTTACATTAAAAATTGAAATGCATAACGGGTGGTTTCAGAAAATATTAGTCAAGGAGATTTTTTAAAAAATTAAAAGGAATAATATTTTGTTTTCTTGTATACATAATGTAGGGTAATATTGCATTTCTGCGTGGGGAAATGTCTGTTTATTACAGAAATCTCTGGAATGATAGTTCCAGATACCAAAAAGCTCCTCTAAGTGGTATGTTACTTCCTCAGGTATGTTACTTTATGACTATAAAATAGAGTCAGAATCTATATTTTATAACTTAAAAATAAATATCTGAACCCCTTTACAATTTGGTTTTGTTCAAGACAAGATAATTAATTTTTTTATTACTTTATGAATGATTTACAGGTACCTACGTCGTTCTTCTGCAATTGATCAACATTTTTTTTGCATATGCCATGGGAATGATCTTGCATCTACATTGCTCTCTACATCTCAAAATTTAGTTCTTCATGTTGGATTTCAAGCATCGCTTATTTCCCTAATAAACCAAAATTTTAATTGTTCTTTTGTGATTTTAAAGATTGAGGTTCCATTGTAGAAGATTTCTTGCATCAAGTCTAATTTGTATTATTTTTAAGTGAAGATATTACGTTTAGTTTTAATTGCTTTTTTCATGCCCGGGTTCATCTAGGAATTTTTTAAAGTGATCAGAGTACTGCGAAGATAACATAACGTAGAGTGTGCGAAACTTCCAGCTGAGGCCGACCATTCCCAGTGCAAGTTCATGAGTGACCGGCTCCGAGCGCCCAGGCCTGATGGCGAAGGGTGGGCCGGCGGGCCGGCGGGCGGCGCGTCGGTGACGGGTGCGGCGGGCACGGGGTTGGCGCCGTCTCCGGGGTGATTAATCGCTCGCCGGATGCGACGCCATCTTGCGCTTCCGGCTAATTACACGCGTCCCCGCGGCGCGCCCTGA